AGCCTAGAACAAATAACGGATGTCTATTCTATTAACATTTCTCTATCTGTAAAATGGGTCCGTTTTATGTACTGTCTTCTCCATTCAGAGGGCCCCCTGCCTGCCTTTACCTAGGGCCCCAAATTTCCTAAATCCCCCCATGGGATTGGCACTAAGGTGTGAACAGAGATTAGTTTGGATTAGGGTTATCTATCAACCTGTTAGCTTTAGGTTAAGGGTCACAGTTATGCTGAATGAATGGAAGTCTATGAAGAGTCCCCACAAGGATAGAGAGTTGTGTGAGTGATTGGGTGAGTATCGGGGTGCAAACAGGTTGCTCATGTTTAGTGATCGTGTCAGATGTCTTCTTTTACTAGTTTCAAGGAAGAAGTTAAAACTGTTGCAGAGGGTTGATATTCCCAGCAGAGAAGGTAGAGCACAGGCTCTGAGCAGACTGGTCCCATTGGATGGTCAGTGTCAGCCCATCCAATTAACACCTGAGAGGATAGGAAATCCTGGGCTTCCTGTTATGGCTGCTAATGCCCACAGGAGCCGCTGGCCTTTCTTAGTTTAGATGATTTCTGTGGCAAACAGCAGAACAAGGACATTTAAAGAAGTAAAGGTGTCAGAACCCTGTAATAAAACCTTCCAGTGATGTTTATAGGATCTGGTTCGACATAAAACGAGTAAAAGAGGAACATCTGATCAGCCAGGCCCCCACAGGGCCCCGCCTGGAGGCAGCAGCAGAGGCTGGGCACCGCTGGGAATCAGAGCCCTGAGTCCTCCATGACGACTGGAAGGAAATCTTCTCCTGATTATCTCGTAGAGCTGGTGAGGGAAGCGAAGAGTGAGCAATGCTGTTATCAGAGCAAACGGCTTCTGCTATCAGTGCAGGCAGACGGCTTCCTGAGTCTGCTCCTGCTGGAGCGTTCTCTCTGTTAGAGGGAAGTGTTGCTGCTGCATCCCTATCAGGACAGGCAACAGAATCAGAGCGTCAGTTTGAAGAATCTCAGGCTACGTTCAAAAAGCAGGAAATTCTGATTCTTTGTGGAATCTGATTTTTTTTTGCGTTGCCGTTCACATTTCATGTTCCTTTGTGACACTTTAGTTGAATGAATTCAGTTCCCAAAGGAGATTACATAATTGGAAATGTGATCAACCACCCAAAACAATCAGGTTTCCTAAACAAAAAAATGGAACAGCGCATTAATGCCTGCAGTGTGAACGCAGCCTTAAACGTGCTCATCCTGACATGACAATGGCCGAGGTTCCAGATGTTCATTTAAAGCTGATTTATCTCTTCCAAAACCAGTTTAAATGTGAGTTTGGGATCATCAATCCATTTAAATCCATTTCCCACATTTCCTCTGATAGAAAATAGAGCCGCAAACATGAACTACTTGGTTTCTGTTAAAAGGAGCGAGCAATGCAACCCTGAGGGACCAAGTATGGTAGAAATATAAATGTATAATTAAAAGGGAAAAAAAGTTTTATTCAAATTAACCAAAGCCGTTTGCCTTTGGGTTCACTAAACATTTAATTCTTGCCATCTTCCTAGTTGATTATATTTTTTACTGTTTTATTTTAACATTAATCTTTATTTATTCTCCCATATTTGTTTGTTGTTCTTTGTGTGGCTCAGTGTTGATGTTTCCCTTCTGCTCTGCTGCTAAACTCCCAGATTGTCTATAAGGTCAATAAAATGAGAAGAACTGCAGGAGGAACGTCTCACCGTCCTTTTTTAGAGCTAATTTGTTTTCACACTGCAAGGTGACAAGAACAATTATTCTGTTAACATGAGCTGTCAGGTCAGACCCCCCCCCCCAACAGAGAAACAATAATAACCACCAATCTGCCAAAACGCTGGAATATAGTAATATTAAAAACACTTTCTCCAGTTGACTTCAGTTTGGTTTATTTATAAAGAACAAATTTACAACAAATTATTTCAAGACACTTTACCAGAAAATAGAAACAGATCCTGTTCACATTACTGCAATCAAACCTTTATTATGAGAGAAAAACAGGTAAAGATAGAACGACAGGAAGCATACTTCAATAAAACCAGACCCAGTAAGGGGATTTAATATAAATCAGTCTTAAAATAGAAACAAGTCCTAACAAATGTCATCTAAAGGCAATGAACATGACAATTTTAATACGGGAACACGTAACAGAAGTCAACACGAACACAGAATCAAATCTAAACACAAACATCCAATTAGATCCTATTTACAACATGGTGAAGATAAATTCAGTTTAACATTCAGAGAAACGTCTTCAATCCAAGGAAGCTCAGCCAATCACAGACGGTCGTTAACTTTGCAGCAGTCCCTCCTGAGCAATGAAGTGGTGACAGTGGAGAGGAAAACCAGCTTTAAGCAGGAAGGAACCTCCAGCAGCTCCATGTCAGTGCCCATCTACTGACGTCCAACAGACACAGAGGCGCCACGCCAAGGAGCAGATGACCTCATCTGGGAAAGAAGAACAGGAGTTAGTGAACAACACGCTAATCTGTGACATTTAAACACCTGAACACTGGGAGAGGTCAAACTTTAACCAATAGAAGAGGGAAACACACAGGGAGAAACTAAAGTTAACAGCAGTGATAACTGTAAACAATGGATGCTTGGAGAAAATGCCTGAAAATGCTGCATTTGTTGGAGTCTTCAGTCGGTTGTTTCTCTAAGTTCAGAGATCAACCAGGAGGGAAATTCTCCCATATTGGATCAGAAGCTGCTTCCTGACTGTTTATCTGTGGTCTAATGGAAAAGTCAGAACTCCTGGTTCTGGTTCTTGGTTACAGAGATGCAAATAGAGGTGAACATCCATTCATGATGGAAAGATGAAGATTAAAGGTTAAACCGCCTTGATGGGATGGTTGTATCTTTTAAATCTGTTTGTTCTGGATCTGTTTTTAGTATCTTCACCAATACTGATGAACATCTGGAAGCAATAAAGGTTCGTTACCTTCTTCTACTGGGTGGAGCAGACTGATGGTTTAGCTGCGGGGTCGTCATCGTTGTTTTACTCCAGGACTCCAGAACGTTGGAGAGAGAGTCTGGTTTCTCCATCCTCTTCTTCAGCTCCTTCATCAATGAAAGCAAAGTGTCCTCAGAGTCTGTCTGCATGTGATGCTTCTCTAGTCAAACAACAACCAACATACCTCCAAACACGAGTGGATGGACTCTGTTCCAATGTGATCCGACTGCTAGAACACTGCTAGCTGTTCAACCAGCTTTCCCTGAAAAAAATAAGACAAATTAATCTACAGAATTGACTCAACACCAAGTTAAAATCTGGGCAGGATGTTGTTTTCATCATAATCTTGGTCTTTCTGTGTTTGAGTGACTGTTAGCTTTTAATCAGGCCTGGGAAGCTTGAGTTGTGGGTTTGTCATGTTAATAAAGTCTTACTCCGTGTGTTTTCTGTTCCAGTCTTTCTCTGTGCCGTCCTCAGGTGGGGACTGGGAAGCTCCTCACCATCCTGGATGTACCGGTTCCTCACAGGAGTTCTGCTTTAGGACGTCCACAGTGTCTGAAATTAACATTAAAAACTAAGTGAGGCCATCTGAAATGTTAACTTTCTGTTTAAATGATGGATTATTGTTGCTCCTTACCTTTTTGTAAAGCTCAGCAGCTCAGATGATGCTCCTCTGGTTTGGTCGCTGCAGATCTCATCAGCATCTTCTGACGGCCCAAAGCTTGGAGAGGCTCGGTCCGACATGGGATTCAGAAAACACAGAAGAGATCCACTGCGGTCAGGACAGGCCTAGATCATATGGAGAAGATTTCTGCAGAGGGTTCTTTACCCTCAAACTAGGCCTGAAAACAAACTGACAAGAGGAACATCTAGAACTAGACCGAGTCACATCGGACTCACAACCCAAATCACTACATCAGTCCTGTCCTCTGCCTCAAACTGCTCTAAAATCAATTACCAAGCGTCGTCTCTCTACCTTTTCACCAACATCCCAGAGACCGGTTCAACTGATGATCACCACAAGCTGTGTCTCTGTCCATTGTATCCAGTTTGTCCTCAGCAGCATCGTCCAGCTGTTTCCTTGGATTGGTTTCCCTCCTTGTGGTTTTCAACCAGGATTCCTTTTTTGTCTTCTAGTGTTTTTATTTGTTTTTTTGTTAACTTGCCTCCACTCTGTGTTTCCTCTTGTTGAACATTCTTCTTGTTCTTCTATCAATCCTTTGTCTGTGTTGTCTTCTGTTAGCTGGCAGACAATCCAGCTCTGATATTAGGTGTAGAACATGCTAGATTATTTCTGCCTTAACCAGCTCTCATGTTCCAAACTAAGTTGTCATGCCCTCAGATGTCTGTGCTAAAGAAAATTCTTAACATCTAAAACTTAAATCAAAATCTAGCAGCGGGGTAAAGAAAAGCCACGGTGCAAGACGCTACCTAAGGCATCCCTAGACCTGCCAGACTCCTTAACATCTTAAAAAACCTAAATCTAGCAGCGGGGTAAAGAAAAGCCGCGGTGCAAAACGCTACCTAAGGCATCCCTAGACCTGCCAGACTCCTTAACATCTAAAAAAAACCTAAATCTAGCAGCGGGGTAAAGAAAAGCCACGGTGCAAAACGCTACCTAAGGCATCCCTAGACCTGCCAGACTCCTTAACATCTAAAAAAACCTAAATCTAGCAGCGGGGTAAAGAAAAGCCACGGTGCAAGACGCTACCTAAGGCATCCCTAGACCTGCCAGACTCCTTAACATCTAAAAAAAACCTAAATCTAGCAGCGGGGTAAAGAAAAGCCACGGTGCAAAACGCTACCTAAGGCATCCCTAGACCTGCCAGACTCCTTAACATCTAAAAAAACCTAAATCTAGCAGCGGGGTAAAGAAAAGCCACGGTGCGACACGCTACCTAAGGCATCCCTAGACCTGCCAGACTCCTTAACATAAAAAAAAACCTAAATCTAGCAGCGGGGTAAAGAAAAGCCACGGTGCGACACGCTACCTAAGGCATCCCTAGACCTGCCAGACTCCTTAACATCTAAAAAAACCTAAATCTAGCAGCGGGGTAAAGAAAAGCCACGGTGCAAGACGCTACCTAAGGCATCCCTAGACCTGCCAGATATGAAAACAAACAATAAATTATATCTAGGTGAAATTCGTCCTCCTAAACATCCCTGTCACGACAAGGCCTCTTCGCAGGGAGCTCCTCTTCATGGTCTTCCTCTCTTCTTCTCCTCCTGGAGACGCGGTCTTCTGGGCACTCCAGGGACTCCTCTGCCTCCTCGTGGTTCCATGGAAGGCTGAAGTCGGAGGGAATCCTCTGGGTGAACTGAAGATGTTGGGGAAGGTGGCCATCGTCTTCATCATGATCTTCTTCCTCAGAGGTTGTGGTGTCAGGAGACTCACCAAAAACTGCCCTAAAATTATCATCATAAGTATCTAACTCCTCCTCATCCTCCTCCTCCACTATTACGTCTACCTCCTGCCTCCGCACCAAGTCCATGCCTACGATCTCTCCCTCCTCGTTACACTCCAGCACCAACGCTTCTATGTCTACCTGCTCCTCATCATACTCTAACTCCACCACTATTTCTCTGAATTCTACCTCCTCATTACCATCCTCACTGAGAACGGGGTACGCTACTGTCATAGTAAACAGATTTAAATTACCCTCATCCTCTATCCAGAGCTGGGGCTCCGGGTCAGGATCAACTGGAAGCGCCGCGTCAGGAACTGTGAGGAAAAAAATAATTAGACCAGGAACATTAATTAAGGTACATTAAATGAAAAGAAATAAATGCTTTATTTTAGGTTGCTGGATGTGCCTGTGTTAGTTTGTCAGGTTTAAGTAGATTTAATCTATAAGAACATCAATCTGTGAGCTAAAATAACTCAATAAAAAAACATAAACAATGCTAGTGGTTTGGTTAGTGTAAAGATATAAAATACTATTTTAAAAGATCACATACACGTAAAAATACATTAAGACAAACATTTATATACGAGACAAATGTGTAGATGATTGTGTTCTCCTGTCTCTGCATCAGCCTGAGGACCATTTTTCTAACGTCACACTGAGGACTGATTGTTGTAAAGGGGAAAATTTTGCTGCTCCTCACCAGCTATCCTTTAAATCACAAGACTACCATGAAATTTGAAGTTTATTTTAAACCTAAATGTTTATTTCACTGTTAAATAGGGCTAAGAATTTTATTTTCAGAAAGTTATCAGTACAAAAAAATAATTAGCTCTAAAATGGTTCATTTATTTAGTTTATTTCTATCACGTCCCTTGCAATTAAACTGTGCTCCCACTAGGGGGCACACACCCCCACTTTGGAAATTAAGACATTAAGATTAGTTCAGATTAAAGGACATTTTAAACTGTCAGTAAAAGCTGTTTTCATTAAACACACACAACCAAATTAGAAATAGTTTTGGTCTATTAGAAAGATTTCCTTATTTCTAAAAAAAAAAGTTTAATTGGCTGATTTGGTAACATAATCATCAATCGTTGAATTATCCTAATTAACAGAAATAAAGGCTTGATAACATCAAGCTTTAAATTCCAGATCTATAATTTCTCAGCTTATCAGGATTTTAAAATCAACCTTTTTTTAACACCTTTGACCTTCCATTAAAGTTTCAAGTATATGCCATCTTAATAAGTCCTAAAGTTATTTTATGCATTCTACTAAGGTTTCCATGGAGACCAATATGTTTACCACTGCATGTTTTAAAAAAGACCTTCCTTTTCAAGTTCAAATATATTTAGAAAAATCCGTTTGATCCTATAATATTTTTTTTGTATTTTTTCAACCATTTCCACATTAAATTCATCATAGATTATTCTCTCAAACCAAACTTTGTCTTTGTTTTACATCATTGCATCTCTGTTATCATTCCTCCCATATCCAACCAATGAAAAGTAATCAAATATAATAATACGCCTTAAAAAAAAACATATTTTTTAAACACTGGTTATAAAACATATCATTTCCTAAACACATTTACTAAACTAAACAACTTGAGAATCTTCATCTCTTTTTTTTCATTTAAAATGCAGTGAAATTCCAAAATAATCAAAAATAATCTTTTTCTTTTATTAAATAGGAAACTAAGCAGTTTGGCTTGATTATATATTATGTTAAATGTCCTTCTAATGTCTTTTTATATTTATTTAATGTATTTTCAACAACATTTCCATACAGAGCAAACTTATTTTCAGGGCATTTTTTAAAAATAATACACCTAGCTCCATTTCACATAAAATTAAACAAAGGTGTTTTTCTGAAACACAAATGTTTTTTTAAATGATTAAATCGCTGTTAACATTTCTGACAAAGGCAGTAAAAAACACATTTAATCTCTGAGATGTCATGGATGCTAGATGCTAAGCTAGCTGTCACTACTTCATGAAAAAACATTAAAATAATAATTTTTCAATTAAATTTTTTTTAAATTAACATAGTAAAGGAGTGAAATAAACCTTCCAGATGATCGTCCCACAAGTTGTTGTCCTCTGGTTGCCTGCACATCTTTAACAGGTTAGCGAATCACAGACTGCAGCAGTTCAAGCTTCCAGGTCCAGGTTAGAAAGGATCCGTTAAAAATGGCTGCCGCTTTTACAGCTGCTCGGTTTCCATGGCAGCGGGTGAGCGTGCGCATGCGCGCGTACGTGAGAGTCAATGGAAAAACTTGCTAATTGCAGGTAATTAGCGACAAAAAAGCAGGTTTTTTGTGCAATGACATAGTTTCATTCAGTGAAAGCTGCTTTTAAAGCTACAGTGTGTAATAATTACAGGGATATACAGTCAGAAACGTAATATATTATACATAACTATGTTATTTATCATCATCTACGAGCTCAGCCTCTTAACCTTAATATTTGCGTTGCCTTAGAATTCATTATTTATAATTACATAGGAGCGGGTCTCGCAGCCATGGAGGCAGACATCTTTGCGCTACGGCAGCGCAGAGCCAACAAACTAGCGATTGCGAGATCGCCCATTACGCTCGAAAGTAACTACGGCAAGTTGAGAGAGATGAACTGAGACGGTACTGAACAATAGATGGCAGTATTAAAATTATCTATGTAAACAAACCTCATCACTTGAGAAGGTAGGTGATGCGGACGTCATGGAAGACATTTTGTCCCGTAACGCTCGCCGTACTGTTGGGGGGGAGAAGCGGTGGGGGGGAGATAATCATGTTGCTGCGGTCTGCAGTCTGACCGCTAGATGTCGCCGAAAATTACACACTGTAGCTTTAATGAGGCAAAGGAGCGAGTTCTAAAGCTCGCTGGCCGCTTTCTAAGCTTTTCTACTTGAAATATTATGCAATAAATTTTATTTTAGAAAGAAATTTCAATCCGAATGACAGAGGTGTTTCTTTCCCTATCGCCATTCTGCTTTGCTTCCATACACACCCATTCAGACCTTTGGAGTAAAATAATCTCCACTGCATATGTCCAGTGGTGGACGAAGTACTCAACAGTAGTACTTGAGTAAAGTATTTATACTCATTGTCTGATCTTACTTTACTACAATTAAAAGTTACTCAGTCAAGTTGAAATATTACATTTTCAAAATATTTAAGTGAGGATTCAATAAGTATTAGTATTCAAAAATACAGGCAAAATGTTGTAATATCAGTATTTTTCTATGTAATTTTCAGTCTTTTTAAAGAACTTTGTACTTTTCAGAAACCACCGGATGTATTGATGCGTAGAACCTCCTGCTACCAATTCTACACCACTTGTAAAGAACTTCAGCATAAAAACGGCACAAAAAATAAAGACAGCTATCTTGATTATTATTTATTATTCAAAAACAAACCAAAAAGAAAACAGGAGAGCCTTGATTCTCCTCAAACTGTAAAGGTTTAATGTTTAATCTATTACCACGAAGAAACTACAACTCTGATTTGAGAACTTACTAAAATAACTTAATAAAATGAATAAACTATCGATAATATCTGTTTTCTCACATTTGGGGAATGTCAGGCTAATCTCTGAACCAGTGGTGTCCAAATTCAGTCCTAAAGGAAGCTATTTGGATTGTTAAAATTGCATTTCAAGAAAGAAAAACAGCAACAATGGACTGAAAAGCTAAACTGAGCCGAAAGGAAGAAGTAATGAGCAGCCCCAAAAAAAAATACTCAAGTAAAATAAGTAATTAAAAAACTTTCTTAAGTACATCAATCAAGTAAATGTACTTAGTTCCTTTCCACCCATGGTTATAACATAATGTGGATTAATTCAGTAATTCATTAGAACTAGGGCTGCGACTAACGATTATTTTTCGATTAATCGATGAATCGGACAAAAAATATTTTTTATATTAACCTCTTTATTCCAAAATAAACATTTTAGACAGAACAAACAAGCACACATGTACAGGTTGCTCATTAACTGTACTGGTGCAATATGAAAAATAAATGTTTGTTAAAACTACGCAAACTTACATGAGAAATGTAGCTGTACATCCACAAAATATAGGCTACTTTGTTTCATAAAGCGCAAAAAAAGACATTTTTGTTTTTAAAGCCCCTAAGGGGTTCAAACAATAGGCCCCCCCCATTTCAACAAATTAGTTTTTTTAGACTAGAAGAGTTCTGCCTTTTAAGACAGGAAAGTATAGCAGTTAAAGTTAGCCCTGTGATTCAAATTATAAATTGTATTTGGAATAAAAATGAGAGAACTAGGGGTGCTAAAAAACACATCCTCCAAAGACAGATATTTACATGGGAATGTGGCAGATAATTAATTGACATATTACTGATCTTGCTGGATTTTATTCTGCTTTACTTCCATAAATTGCAGGATCTTCTTTACTTTATCTTTGCCAGAAGATTTAAACTTTAAAAGCCTTGCCCTCATAATTTGCAAGTTAATTTATTTATAAAGTAAATCTAAACGCTGCTTAAACAAATGTAAATGAAATTAAAAGTAAAATAAGTAGCCAACCTTATCCCTGTCTGTAACCTACTAACACGGTAAGGAAAGCATCAGATGAGCTACCTGAGAAACTAACGTTACGTTTCCCCACTTTAAAACCAAACAAACATGGTGGTTCCGCGCCATGTTCATTTGTTTTGACAAAAGTTGCATGTTACGACTTTTTTCGCTTTACAATGCGCAGGCTGTTTTAATTAGTGTGATCAATTTGCGCCGTCAATCCCGGTGCATGCGCGCTTCATTTGCAGTCTGGACGCTGAGGGTAAACCTGCGGCTCTGACTGCAGCGCTGAGAGGGACTCCTGCAGGAGAACAGGGTTGGGATGGGGGAGGCGCCCCACGGCAGAGTAGGAACGATACATGCTTTCACGTAAGAGTCTCCAAAAGCCGCCAGTGACACCGTAAAAAGTCGCCAGTTTTGTCGCTAGTCGCTTTTTTGAAAAATACACTATATTGCCAAAAGTATTTGCTCACCTGCCTTGACTCACATATGAGCTTAAGTGACATCCCGTTCCTAATCCATAGGGTTCAATATGACGTCGGTCCACCCTTTGCAGCTAGAACAGCTTCAACTCTTCTGGGAAGGCTGTCCACAAGGTTTAGGAGTGTGTTTATGGGAATTTTTGACCATTCTTCCAGAAGCGCATTTGTGAGGTCGCACACTGATGTTGGACGAGAAGGCCTGGCTCTCAGTCTCCGCTCTAATTCATCCCAAAGGTGTTCTATCGGGTTGAGGTCAGGACTCTGTGCAGGCCAGTCAAGTTCATCCACACCAGACTCTGTCATCCATGTCTTTATGGACCTTGCTTTGTGCACTGGTGCACAGTCATGTTGGAAGAGGAAGGGGCCAGCTCCAAACTGTTCCCACAAAGTTGGGAGCATGGAATTGTCCAAAATGTCTTGGTATGCTGAAGCATTCAGAGTTCCTTTCACTGGAACTAAGGGGCCAAGCCCAGCTCCTGAAAAACAACCTCACACCATAATCCCCCCTCCACCAAACTTTACACTTGGCACAATGCAGTCAGACAAGTACCGTTCTCCTGGCAACCGCCAAACCCAGACCCGTCCATCAGATTGCCAGATGGAGAAGCGCGATTCGTCACTCCAGAGAACGCGTCTCCACTGCTCTAGAGTCCAGTGGCGGCGTGCTTTACACCACCGCATCCGACGCTTTGCATTGCACTTGGTGATGTATGGCTTGGATGCAGCTGCTCGACCATGGAAACCCATTCCATGAAGCTCTCTGCGCACTGTTCTTGAGCTAATCTGAAGGCCACATGAAGTTTGGAGGTCTGTAGTGATTGACTGCAGAAAGTTGGCGACCTCTTCGCACTATGCGCGTCAGCATCCGCTGACCCCGCTCCGTCAGTTTACGTGGCCTACCACTTCGTGGCTGAGTTGCTGTCGTTCCCAAACACTTCCATTTTCTTATAATACAGCTGACAGTTGACTGTGGAATATTTAGGAGCGAGGAAATTTCACGACTGGATTTGTTGCACAGGTGGCATCCTATCACAGTTCCACGCTGGAATTCACTGAGCTCCTGAGAGCGACCCATTCTTTCACAAATGTTTGTAAAAACAGTCTGCATGCCTAGGTGCTTGAATTTATACACCTGTGGCCATGGAAGTGATTGGAACACCTGATTCCAATAATTTGGATGGGTGAGCAAATACTTTTGGCAATATAGTGTAGTTGCTGGAGGGGTCTGAAAAGTCGCTGAGTTGGCAACACTGCACCTGCAGCGCTGACTCGCTCTGCCACATTTTTTTTCTTCCCCCGTTTCAGTCAAGTGGATGTGATGATGATGGCGGCGGATGACGCATTAATCGCGTGACACAACTAATCGATGATGAAATTCGTTGCCAACGCTTTTAAAAGTCGATTTTTATCGATTTTATCGATTCATTGTTGCAGACCTAATTAGAACCGCTGCATATAAAGCATTAGGGCTGAAGCTCTGCTTCAGTGGGTTCTGCAGCATCGTGTATTGATGGTCTTTTCTCTGACTCAGTCACATGTTGACTCGCTCTTCAACACAGAGACTCTGGATTTTATTTCAAGACTAAAGCCGTGGAAATGTTATCTTCTTTTTTGATGTGAAATGTGATCATTCAAACAACGTAACCCAATGATAGTTTTGTAGAACTGCTAACGCTGTCACTCACTGTTCATTACTGATTTTTAATGTGACTTGAGATGCATGAATCAATTTGATGAAACAATTATCCTAAATTAACAATTAAATATATTTACTGCAGAGAAGAGCATAAAGGCTCCTCTTCCCTCCATAAAAGACATTTCATCCCAGCTCTGCGTGTCCCGAGCCCGTAATCTCATCAATGACCCCGCCCCCCCGTCTCCGTCTCCCGATACGCTCTCGCCTGTGTCCGACCTTTCAGACATTTCAACATCTTTTTCTGAATCCCACATTGTAGCATGGCATAGACAATTCACGTTAGCAGTTTGAAGAACACCTGCTTGCTTCTGAGGGTTTCCTTTAGCTAACCAATGAGTGTTTGCAGGGCCGGCCTGTGGCTTAGGCAGTATAGGCAAATGCTAAGGGCGCAAACCACCAGGGGGCGCCCTGCCAGTATCTATACCTTAAAGGAATAGTACACCCAAAACATGATTAGCCTTCATTTTCTACTCACCCCCATGCTGAACAACACTCTGGAGT